CCAATAACAGCTACAACATCAAAGGAGCATCAGCAGAACCAGGAACCAGAGCATGGAACAGCATGATGGACTTTCAAACCAAGGAGCTAGTAAAGCTGTATGCTTTTGTTCAGAGGACTGGCTTTTGGAGTGGGATGCCTTCAGGCACTTAATTGGAGAAGTTGGACTTGCTGACCCATGGAAGTGGAGCTGAGTGCCTTTGGGCTGAGGCTTACTTGAGTGGGGTGCCTCTGGGCACTTAATTCAGGGAGCTGGCTTTGCTGACCCTTGGAGCTTGAGATGAATGCTTTTGAGACTTACAGAGACGGACCGGCGTCGGGACCAGCGCGGGAGGACGGCTGGGGACGCGCGGAAGACCCTCCGGTGAGACCTAGGTCCGGGGCTCAGGGCGCGCAGGTTGGGCGTCCGCCAGCACCCACCCCGAGCCGGGGTGATGCCCTCGGAGCACAAACCCCCCAGAGTCCGAGCTGTGGCCCGGCAAGTCCACCTGGGCTTTCCCTGGGCCAGGCGGGTCACGCGGGCCCGGGAGAGCGAACGGGTCGTTCCACGCGGCTCCCAGTTCGACACTTCCCGACTTCGGGCGTTGATACAGTTCCTACCTGTGAAATAACCAACCCTCTCCAGTGAAGCCAACCCTAATTTCGTGTGAACACGTGCCTTTCCTTTGCCTTTTCTCTGTGTTTTGTTGCAAATTCCCTGAACTGATTGCTGGTTCTTTGGGTCTTAGGGCGCTGGCCCTGGTCTTGGCTTCTGTTGGAGCCTGATTCTCCCAAATGAGCTCCGTTGGTGCTAATGAGTAGGGCTGAGCTAGGGTGACCCAGACCCCCAAGCCACAGTTACATTTGCGTTTTATGCGCCCTCTCCCCCGCCACCCATCAGTAATAACTTAGGCCTGCCTGTTTACCATTTCAAAGTCAGGACCTGGTGTTTGTTGTGATCTTGAGGAATCTCAGCTGAGGTTCTTTTGGTTTCTCTTTGGCTCTCAACTTGATACAGGTGGAAATGGAAGAGAAACAAACACACCTGAGTTCGTGGAGGAGGAGGGTAGGGAGAAGGGAGGAGTGCAGGTTACAACCAACTTCCCAGACCTTGGAGCAGCCAACCCTCAGAGGATGAGAGTTGCCACACTCTAGGGGTTTAAAAGGCTTCATTTACATGTTGCACACCATGAAGTTCGTCCATCTTTAGTGTGCAATTCAATGATTTTTCAGAAACTTTACAGAATATTGCAACCATTGCCACAATCCATTGTTCGTTCAACTCCAAGCTATTCTTTCATGCCGTCTAGTGGTTTCATCCTCCAGAGCTACCCCATGAAAGAAGCACTTGAACTTACTGCAGGAAACAAAACAGCAGGAATCCCCCACGACCTGCAGTTCAACCAGTGTTGTTCAAGGGTCAAGTATACATTCTTTCCTTGGACCGCTTTTAAAAACTGTTCAGGTCTTTTACTACTTTTTCCCTGTCATTTTACATTGAAGATTACATTTCAGAGACTCACCTGTCATCCATTATAGTCCTTTCCTTTTTAAAGATCTTTTCCTTTGGCCATGTATGGTTTCCTTGATGCCATCCCACAGTTTGTCTAGTCTTCAGTCATTCCTGCTCAGTGTCAATCCACTCCGGAGATGGTCTCTAAATTCAGAGGGCTGTAATCGGGGTAGTACTTGGGTTCTCTCATTCTTTTCCTCTTCAGCTTGAACTTACAAATGAGCAATTGATGGTCTGTTCTGTAGGCAGCATCTGGCCTTGTTCTGACTGATGATTTATTGAGCTTCTCCGTCATCTTTCCACATACGTAATTGATTCGGCTCCTGTGTGGTCTATCTGGTGATCTCTGTCTATGAGCACATTGTTGTTAGGTGTCTTCCTGGGGGTTCCAACTCATAGCAACAGAATGAGATGTTACCTGGTTCTGCACCATCCTCACAATTGTTATATTTGAATCCACTGTGGGGTCTCGACACCCACTGTGTCAATACATCTCACTGAAAGTTATCTTTTCCTCTGACCTACGTTACTAAGCACAACAGCCTTCTCTAAGGACTAATGTTCTTCTTGATGATGTTCAAAGCACGAGAGACAAAGGTTCCTCAATCTCATTTCTAAGGAGCTTTCTAGCTGTACTTCTTCCAAGACAGAGTTTTGTTCTTGCAGTCCATGGTACCTTCAACATTCATCACCAACCCAATAATTGAAATCCCTAGATTAATCTCTACTCATGCATACTTCGTGTCCAGCTTTCACATGCCTACGAGCAAGTGAAAATACTATGGCTTAGATCAGGCACATCTTAATTCTCCAAATGACATCCTTGCTCTTGGATGCCTTATAGAGTTCTTGTACAGTACATTTGCAAATGAAATATGTCATTTGATTTCTTGAACGTTGCTTCTGTGAACATTGATTGTGGATCCAAGTAAACTGAAGCCTTAAATAGCATCAATATTTTTTTCAGTTTATCAAGTTATGTACAGGTCCCGTCGTGGTGACTTTAGTTTTCTCTTTGAGTTATAATCTGCACTAAAGGCTACAGTCTTCAATTTTCATCAGTGCTTCAAGGCCTGCTCATTTTCAGCAACCTGTCTTCTGCATATCACAGGTTGTTAATGAATCTTCCTCCAATCCCGATGCTGCATTATGCTTCATATTGTCCAGGGATATAATCCTGATTCGGACCTTTCTTGTTTGTAAGCCCTTCACTATCCCCCTTTTTCTGTTCAAATGACTGCTTATGTACTATCTGCAGGGGCAGTGAATTATTTCAATGTGGCTCTTATAGCCAATGTCTCTACCTCCCAATCAAACGACCTTTCCCTGCATGGGTCTGGTAAAAAGGTTAGGAAAGGTACTGATAGGATTTGCCTGTGAGTAAATGCAGACCAGATTCCCTGCAGTACCATTCTGCTGTGTATAAAATGAGCCCTCTGAGAAACAGAAGGCAGGATCTCATTACCAGCAAGAACCAGGAGTGGAGCACATCGTCTGGACCTGAGATTCCTACATCAGTGAGCCTCCTAGATTCCAATAACAGCTACAACATCAAAGGAGCATCAGCAGAACCAGGAACCAGAGCATGGAACAGCATGATGGACTTTCAAACCAAGGAGCTAGTAAAGCTGTATGCTTTTGTTCAGAGGACTGGCTTTTGGAGTGGGATGCCTTCAGGCACTTAATTGGAGAAGTTGGACTTGCTGACCCATGGAAGTGGAGCTGAGTGCCTTTGGGCTGAGGCTTACTTGAGTGGGGTGCCTCTGGGCACTTAATTCAGGGAGCTGGCTTTGCTGACCCTTGGAGCTTGAGATGAATGCTTTTGAGACTTACAGAGAAGTGGCATGCCCTTTGACCATTTATTGACAACCCCAAAGAACTTTGTAATATATCCTGATAAACAGCTCAACCCTGAGCATTTCTCACCAGTGTAACAACTTCCTTAGGAAACCCTTTAACATCTATTTGCCTTTCTGCGAGTCCTATGTAGCCATCGCAGTGGATATTAGAACCTGGAGATAAATTTTAGAACAGTAAGTCAGCTTATTGTCTATGTACAAGTTACCCATTATTCACATTTTTTTGCAATGTCATCTGTGATTTATTATGATTCACACAGTTCAATGCCTTCGCAGTCACAGAACACGAGTAAACATCTTTCAGATTCGCTGCATCCAGCCAAGATCCAGCTGGTGTTAGATATGATAGGCCTTGTGCCACATCCTCTTCTGAATCCAACGTGGCTTTGTGGCAGCTCCCTGTCAATGTACTGCTCCAACCGTGTTTGAATTATGTTCAGCAAAGTTTTACTTGCGTGTGTTATTAATGATCTTGGTTGATAAATTCTGCATTCTTTTGGATCATCCTTCTTTGGAATCAGCACAAAAATGGATTCCTCCAGTCAGTTGGCCAGGGAACAGTCTTCCACATTTCTTGGTGTGCACTCCTGATTGATTCCAGTGCTGCATCAGTTGGTTAAAGCATGTTACTTGTTATTCCTTCAATTCTGTAGTCCTTGTTTTTCTCCAGTGCCTCCCATGAACCTTGGACATCTTCCTGCAGTACCATTGGCTCCTGCTTATATTTCTTGAAGTGGTTGAAAGTAGATCAACTCTTTCTGGGACCGATGCTGTATTCCCTGCATCTTCTTTTAAAACTCCTGTGTCGTTCTACTCAGACACGTTTTCAGTCTTGTAATTGGAGGCTTGAATATTTTCATCAGTCCTTTCTGTAGGAGC